GAGCGCAAGATGAAAACCTTCAACTTCTAGTCGCCTCCCGGCAATGTTTATGTTCTGTACTCCCAAGCATTTCTTTAAATTTTCACCATATCATTTGTCATTACAGACTGATCATGGACATGTCCTTGAAGCAGAACTAATCACAGGTAAACTTAAAAGTATCACCCGTGGGCCACAATTCACAAGGACAATCCAAGATCTCATAGGCTGCATGAAGACACAGAACTGACTTCCTCTCACCTTGAACTGTAAGGATTTGACAACATAGTCTTTAATGCAAAATAAAGCAAAGAACTATAGATGCTGAAAATCTGAAACAAAAACAGAAATCGCAGATCTGGCAGCATCTGTGGAGAGAAAGTGAGTCGACTTTCCACGTCCATGGACAGATGCAACTGCAGCTTGCAGAGTGGTAAGGATGAGGTCAAGTATGTTTTTCCCTCTTGTTGGTTCCCTCACCAGCTGTCGCAGACCCAGTCTAGGAATTATGTCCTTTAGGACCTGACGAGCTCGATCAATAGTACTGCTGCCGAGCCACTCTTGGTGGTGGACATTTAAATTCCCCACCCAGAGTACATTTTGCACCCTTGCCATTCTCAGTGCTGCCTCCAAATGTTGTTCAACATGGAGAAGTACTGATTCAGCAACTGAGGGAGGGCAGTATGCTGTGGGAGATTTAATTGCTCATGTTTAACCTAAAGCTATGAAACTTCATGGGATCTGGTGGCAATGTTGAGGACTCCCAGAACAACTCCTTCCCAACTGTATACCACTGTGCCACCATCTCTGCTGGGTCTGTCCTGGCAGTGGGACAGGACATCCAGGGATGATAATAGTGGTATATGGGACATGGTCTACAAATTATGATTCTGTGAATATGTCTATAGCAGGCGGTTACTTGACTAGTCTGTGAGACAGCTCCCCCAAATCTTACACTAGCCCCATCCCACCTCCCCCAGATGTTAAGAAGGAGGACTTTTCCAGGTCAGACAGGGCTGTCTTTGTCATTGTTGTTTCCGATGCCTAGGTCGATGCCAAGTGGTCAGTACGGTTTAATTTCTTTGTTGAGACTTTGTTGCAATTGATACACCCGAGTGGCTTGCTAGGCCATTTCAGAGAGCAATTGAGATTCAACCTCATTGCCGTGTGTCTGGATTCACATGTAGGCCAGACTAGGTAAGAATGGAAGATTTCCTTCCCTAAAGGACATTGGTGAACCAGGCGGGTTTTTCCGAAAACTAGCTTCATGGTCATTATTATTTCCTCCAGGTCCTGGCAGCAGAGCAGCACTCCAATTTCTCCCTAAGTGACATGTCCAGAGCAAATATCATGAACCGTGCTGGTCAGCTCTGGACTGTCAGTGCTTGTCTGGGTGCACAACAACCTTTTAAAAATGGTACCATTGCCAGGAACCAAGCAATACCCTGGCAGTGGTGAGTACTTACACCTATGGAAAGCGGGAGAATTGGACCAGCAGAAGTAAATTTAGAAAGACAGTGTAACGAAATTCACTAGGCCTCACGGAGAAAAACCCTCCATGAAACTTAATAAAAATGACACTGATGCTGATTTCTGCTCAGATTCAACCCATAGAGTACTGACAGTGGGGGAGTTTAATTCTCCTAAATTCAATTAAACAGCAAAGGTATTGACCAAAAGGGCAGAGAGGAGCAAGAATTCCTAAAGTGAATTCAGGATGTTTTTCTAGATCATTATATTTCAAGCCCAATTGGAAAGATGCTGGATCTGACTCTGGAAAATGAGATGGGTCAAGTGGCTCATGTGTCATTCGCGGAATATTCAGTTTCATAAGTTTTAGTTTAGCAATGGAAAGGTACAGGAGCATTCTAGATTAAAGGTATTTAGTTGGAGGGGGCTTGAGAACTAACTCATTCCAGATAGACTGGATTTAAAGTTTGGAGGGAAATCCGGTATTAGAACCACAGGCTGTTTTTCAAGCTGATAGCTTAGCGCAATCAAGGTACATTCCCATGAAGAGGAAGGTGAGGAAGCCAAAGCCAGAGCACCCTGGATGGTGCAAGAGAATAGAGGGCAAGGTAAGCAGATAATGGTGCAAATTACAGAATTCAGTTCATAATAAGATTGAGAGTCAGGCTGAATGTAAACACTTCAGAGGGACATAAGAAAGGAAATAAGAGAGGCAAACAGAGAATGTGAGAGGAGTCTGGCAGCTACTGACATTTAAAAGGGATACAAAGGTCTTCCATTGGCATATAAATGTTTATAGGTTTGTAAGAAGATGAGTGGGGTGATTAAGGAACCAAAAAGAGATCTGTGATTAAAGGATGGCTAAAGTACTGAATAAATAAGTTTATAAAAGAAGACGATGCTGCAAAGTCATAATGAAAGAGGAAATTGTTGAGATACTGAATGTGTTAACAATTGATAAGAGGAGGTATTAGAAATAAAAACAGAAACACAGTTGGTCTGTCAGACAGTGAAGCAGAGTTAACGTTTTGAGTCCAAGATAACTTTTGTTCGGGAATATTAGGTATTAGAAAGGCTAGCTGCACTTAAAGTTAAAAAGTCACCAGGATTGGATGGGATGTCTCTGAGGATGCTAAAGGTCATCGTGGGGGGCGCGGGTGTTGAAGATATTCTGGCCATGCACAGAGGCAGTGGTATTGTCACGGGGCTAATGATCCACAATCGAGGCAAACATTTTAGGTATGCGGATTTGAACGTAGACATGGCAGATGGTGACATTTGAGTTCATTTAAAACACTGGGATCAAAAATCTGGTCTAATGTTGACCGTGTAGCCACAGTTAATTGCCATAAAAACCCTCTGGTTCTTTAATGTTCTTTAGGTAGGGACATCTGCCATCCTGACCTGGTCTGGCTACATGTGACTTTAGGCCCACAGCAATATGGTTGACTCTTAATTAAACTCAGGGGAGAATACTGATTGACTTCTAGATGTCATAGATAGAGTGGTAGAATGGGTGGACATCTAGAAGATGAAACTTGATGCATATGTTTGAGTTGATTTTTAAAGCAGATTCTGGAGGAGAGAAACATAGTGACATATGTGCATAAATCATTGGAAGTGACAGGATAGGTTGAGAAAGTGGTCAAAAAGGCAAATGATAGTGATTCTTTATAAAACTGTTTGATCCCAATTCAAGTGTTGTGTCCAATTGTGGACATGACCCTTTAGAAAGGCTTTAGACAGGTGAAACATCTAAACAGGGTGCAGGAAAAATTTGCAAGAGAGATTCTGGGATGGGGGACTTCAATAGTGATAATAGATTGGAGAAGCTGGGCTTGGTCTCCTCAGAGAAGAAAAGATTGGGAGGAGCTTTGCTCAAAGTATTCAAAATGATTAGGGACCCAGACAGAATAGGTAGAGTGGAAGATGCTTCCATTGGCAGTAGAAACAAGAACCAGAGGATACTGATTTAAAGTCTCCGGCAAAAGAAGCAACATCAAATGGGGAAAGTCCTTTTTATGCAACTAGAGGTTAGAATTCAGAGTGCACTGCCTGAGAGTGTGGGAGAGACAGGTTTGATCATGCATTAAAAAGTACCTAAAGAGGGAAACTTTGCAGGGCTACAGAGCATAGTTGGGGATGTTGGATTAACCAAGCCAGTGTGGATATGAGAAGCCAAATTACCTCCTTTGATGTTGTAAACTTTCTATGATTCACAGATTTGACATTCCCAGTTACCTGCTCCCACTTCCTTCTGAGGATTCCAGCACCATGTAAACCCTCACCTCACTTTAGATCCTTGGCATCTCTCACTGATAGCTCCAGCACCACATTCAAAACCTTCTCTCTGCTCTGACGCTTCATTTTTAATGGTTTAGAATTACAGCAATAGCATTCAGCATTAACAGCTGTAACTCAGCACAGATTCTCTTCAAGGTGTGTACACTCCCTTTACAAACAGAAGGCTGACTGCACTGTTTGTTGCCAGCATAATTCTGAGGCAGTCATCAGTATTCAACCTAATGTTACAGTCGGGTAAATGAAGTGGCAGCACTAAGTTTGCATGCTGCCCACCTCAATGGGAAGGAACATGCAACACTTTAGTATAAAAGAGAGAGAGAGAGCTGAAAGGGAGGCAGCTGTGGAAAAGCATGAGTTGTGTTTTTTTAATTCATTGGATGAGGATGTCACTGGCGAGACCAGCATTTATTGCCCATTATTACCCAGAGGGAAGTTACGAGTCAACCACATTGCTGTGGATCTGGAGTGACATGTCGCCTCGACCAGGTAAGGGTGGCAATTTCCTTCCCTAAAGGGCATTAGTGAACCAGATGGGTTTTCCCCGGCAATCAACAATGGATTCACAGTCATTATTAGACTCTTAATTCCAGATTTTTAATTGGATTCAAATTCACCATCTGCAGGATTCAAACCCAGGTCCCCAGAACATTACATGGGTCTCTGGATTAACTGTCCAGTGATAATACCACTAGGCCGTTTACTGCCCATGATGGTGTATGATATGATGATAAGGGGTGGAATTTACTTTTGGTATTACACAAATGTGACCCCAGTCATCTAACATTTGCCAACACTGCTTTTGTGAAGGTGCTACTCGAAAGTCTGTCTGCAAGTCCAGATGCACTGATATAAGAAATCACTCCAGTTTCAAATGCTTGTGGAAAGTTTCGGGATTTTATGAGCTCAATTTTATTTGTAAATGACTCTTACAGGCAATGCCAACTCCCATGAGTTTATTGTATCTGGATTTTCCCTAGGAGAATGCACATGTAAGCAGCCTTCTTGTTCCAGCTGACTAACATCAATGATTGGCGGAGATGGAGGTCATTGTCTAAACGATTGGGATCTTTTCTATTTCTTTGCAACTTAAACAATTAGCCCATTTATCATTTTAGTTTTAACAGCTGAACCTCTCAAGTTGCTTAGGGAGATTTGTGGAACAGGAAGTTGGGAGATCACATGTGCAACCTGATTTTAATTGACTATCACTTTCTATCATAACTTCTGTTACATCACTTCTGGTTTTAGGAGGGCGATGAAGGAATTGGTTGATTTCTGCCTTTAATATTTTCCATGCCCTGTTTCTGGCTGATAGCTTTTGAATCATCAGGATTCTGTCAAGGAACACGTTTTAAATTTTAATCAAGAGAGTAAGTGCCAATCTTATTTAGCACAATATTCCAGTTCTAATCTTGGATCTGCTGGGCTCTCCTACATATGAATGCACATCAAGCTGAAAAAGTGAGTGGCTACAAAATGCAAAGATTTTAAACTGTAAAGTTTCACAGGCAGCTACTGATTCATACCATTAAACAGTCTTCTATTTATATTGGCATAAAATTCGTTGTATTAAAAACAGTATAATTTAGTGTATTGCACATATCTGCCTCTCTACCTGATTTTGTTCCTAAATGAATCTCCTTAAAACCTTATTCTGCCTAAGTTTTTAGTCATCCTTAGCATCTTTACAAATGTCTAGACTTCATACTTTCACTCAAAAAGCTCCTGCGGAGCATCTAGAGAGGTTTCATGACTTTAAAGGTGTTATATAAGTATAGATTGCCTTGTAATGTTTAAAAACATAGAACTGCCTAAGTTCAGTCGGAAATGAACATAATGGCAAGTTGGATTTTCTAGAAATGAATCTAAGATTAGTGAGCATTTTAATGAATGTAAAGGAATGTTATTTAAAATTAATGTTTTCAGTTAGCTATGAAAATAAGGTTCAATCTACACATTTTAGGAGCCTTTTAACTGTGCATTATGAAGAAACATGGAAATATTTTATATTTTTTAAAAATTTGTCACATGTATACTTGTGTTCAGGTGTGTTCTATGTAGAAGGTTGTTTGTACAGTCCCAAGTTTATACAACCAAAGAAAAATGTTTATTAGTAGATGATTACATTTATCAAACATCATATTAGAGTTTAAAATGATGACAATATTCTCTTTTCAAAGAAATTTAAATGGAGTATGTTGTTAACAAAATAATAAGGCATATAACTCATTTTATTTTTTCCTGTTTTGTTTAAAAATGCTTAATGTGTAAAAGAAAACAGGATACAGAAAATTCTGACTTAAACTGATTAACCAGATTTTTGACTTTCAACTATAACTGCTGAATTTGACAGAATAAGCTCCAAGTACTTAGCAAAAATGAATTGAGGTTCCAAAATGCATTTAATCTTTTTCACTCAGGAAGTTATTCTTGTGTGTATGTTTCCACAAATAATGTTATCAGAAAAACTCAAGGGTTTTAACAATGCCGTCTAATTTGACTTATTTCCTTTCTGCAATACCGAACACTGAAAAAACAAAGATGAAAATGTTAAGGGAACTCCCTCAGTTGGAACGAGCACGGTGCTGACAGAGATTTCTGATGTGATGTGCAGCAAAGTTATTGTGCATTCTGGACCAGGAATAGCATTGTTACTGGAAGGAAAGAATCTTTTTTGTAAAGTAACTCATGGTTTTCCTTTATTTGCTTCATGTTGAGTTTTATGTCAAAGATGTAGCTGGTTGTCCAAACTCAAGTTACTTAGAAGTCAATTATTTATTAATTAATTATAATACTTATTAACAACATAAAACTAAACACAATATTGAATTAAAGGGGAAAAATTACTGGGAGAAATTGACAATTGCACATTCGATGGGGCCGTATTACTCATTGACATTTTTTAATCACCATACTAGATATAGAGTGACATTTTTTGTATTTACATTACATGTTCACCTGTAAGATTACTGCACAAACTTTATTTTGAGTATGAGGCCACTCACAAATTAATATGATGAATGAATTCTGGTTCTATCAAAAAGATCTTGAGTTACTTTATAATCAATTCCCTGCCACAGTTAACCGAGGCACAATATAAGTGCTGTGGTATTATAAGTAGGAAACAGGAACAGAAGTAGGCCAGTCTACCCCTCAGCCCTGCTCTGCCAGTCAGTACGATCATGGCTGATCCAACATTCCTCACATCCATGTTCCTGCCCTTTTCCCCATGACCCTTGATTCCTCCACTTAACAAGAATTTACGTATCTCAGCCTTAAATGTACATAAGGGGTCTGCCCCCACAGCTCTTTGTGGCAAAGTGTTCGAAAGACTTGCAGCCCTCTGAGAGAAGAAATTCCTCCTCATCTCAATCTTAAATTGGCACCCCTTTATTCTGAGACTATGCCCTCTGGTCCTAGTCTCTCCCATGAGGGGAAATATATTCTCAACATTTACCTGTCAAGCCCCTTAAGAATTCAATGAGATCACCTCTCATTCCTCTAAATTCCTGTGAGTAGAGTCCCAACCTGTTTGGCCTTTGTTCATAAGACAATCCCTTCATAGCAGGGATCATCCTTGTGAACCTTCTCTGAACTGCCTCCAATGAAATGATATATTTTCTTAAATAAAGGGACAGTATATCATCAGTTGTTTCCCACCCCTCGAAAGGGGATATCTGGCTTTACGTTAATAAAAATAGGAACTGTTCTGTCTAGTTAACGACACTTGTTGTTTCGTACAGATTCTTCTTTAGCCCCTTTGTCGAATCCCAGACCTATTACTATATAACCGTTCTGGTGAGATGACTGATCTTGCCCTCTTTGGACCTTAAACAGTGGAGTTCTGCTTTCATGTTATTTCTGTTGTTTGTGCTGTCAATTGTACAAGACCTCACCTTCCTCCTCCTCTTTTCTTTTGCTGTATATTCTAAATATTTAGGACATGTGACAACAGATAAAGACCTGCTTCAAGTTAATTTCACTCAAGGTCATTTCCTACCCATTGATTTTCTCCTGATTTGTGTTTGTGTTCACCTCATTTATTGGTGATTTTAGTTAGTGATCGGCCACTTTCAATGTTATCTCAGGAAAAGTTGAAGTGAGCACCAATTTTCCTGCACCATCCTTACTGCAGAGTAAATCAGGAACAACACCTATTGCACACACTTTGATGGGATTCAGGTGGTGGTCAGATTCAGTTAATAATCATGTATGGTAGTTTGTGATCAGAATTGGTGTTGACTGGGGCATAAGGCTGTGTGCTGCAAACTGCAGCTTTATGCTGTGTGTAGCTGTGGATTCAGGCAGTGGTGGAATCTTTCCCTTCACCAATAGAGTGCACCCCTGCAGCCCAAAGATTTAGCTCCATAGAATCTCCTATACACACTCAATTACTTGAAATAAATTAGTTTCCCCAGGTCTCTAATGTGAGGGAGCAACCCAGCAACTTCTAACACTTAATTTTGTGTTCCTCTTTTGAGGCAGCTGCTGCACAAAACCCTTAAAATTGACAAGAATATTATGACAGTACTCCTGTGCTATTTCCATGAAATTTAAAAGTATTTCCTCCTGTTTG